AAAAAAAAAAAAAAAACCCAAAAAAAAAAAAACAGGTCTTGGTCTGAGAAATGAGAAAAGCAGCAATCAGAATAGCGGCTTAGCATTTGTCTCACCTGGGCTAAGTAGGATGGAAACCTTTCCCTTATCTTTTGACACCTTACAAAAGCAAAATCAGGTGACCCGTGGGCAAATTCGCTCCGTTATCAGTGATCACGCTTCGTCGTCTATCGATTCACTGCCCTCAGTGGAGGCAAACCGAGGGTAGCTGCTCGTGAGAAGCACTGCCACGTAGTAAGGTAACCCCAATACCGTAGTAAGGGAACCCTCTGTCTCCTGATATGCCGAGCAGAGATACCCTCACCATCCACCTCCAGCACCCAAAACCGTGCTGCTTAACTTAACATGGCTTAAGCTTGCTATGTTTGCTTAGGCCCCCTCACAGCTAAGTTTTTCTCCCTTAGGGCAGCCCAGCACTTTGCTGATTAAGGCTCAACAACAGCTCTGGGAGTTGTTAATGAGGTGTTAAGAGGTGCTAACCATCAATAACTCCTCACCTGAGCTTTTAGGAACCCACTCCACTACTCCTTCCCCAAGACCGTGTGAGACGAGGTATTTAAAGCCCCTCTTTTCCTCTCCCTTTCTATACGGGGCACTTATTTTAGCTTTGCAGTTAGGTGTGCTCCTCATCAATCCTCTTTGTTTAAATCGCCTCTTTCGGGCTTGGTCTCTGTTGCTTATTCGGGAGAGTATGTGAAAATCTGGTCTGATGCTTGTTTCCAGGCTTTTCGTGGATTTATCCCCCCTCCCTTCTATATGTTCAAAAAGAAGGGGGAACACAAGCAGAGGCCCCGTGCCTGTAGTCTTGACTGCTTGCTGCTTTGGCGTTGAGGGTGTTTCCAGTGAAATCTGCCTTGAAGCAGGTGGAAGAGAGACCTCAAATCTATACTTTAAAATGATGCTAGTAGAAAGGAAGGTATCCCCTTTCTCCCATAGCTTTAAAGGAAAAGAAACTAAATAAAACCCAGGGGAAGGGTCCTACCGAAAGAAAAAGAGGGGGTAGTTTTGAATCCTTAGACTCATTTCCCATTACTGTTTTATTTTTTTAAAAGCACACTAAACAAAAATTCTTACCATCCATGACATCACGATAATAGTTAAGCTCGTAAAACAGTCAAGTCTTCTTTAGGACTAAAAGTCTTATTTCTAGACTCCATTGTTGGAATACAGATAGGGGAATGATTACACACTAGAGACTCTTCTGTGAAGGTCTGGCACGGTTTTCATCTGAGATACCACTTTACCGAGCTGCTTGAGCTCATGCAAATTGTATTTTTCTTTATAGAACTATTTTTTTATAAGAAGCTGCTTGGCAAAATCAGAGAAAAACCCAACTGAGTAGTTGGCAGTGGGTGCCTAGCAATACACTTCTGGGAGTCAGATGATTATTTTGATATATCATATAATTTTAAACCAGCAAAGACCTGGAAGAGTAGCAAAAGCTTGCTCTCTGCAAATAGGTGAGTGTTCTACAGAAAACCTCCTGCTGAGTAATCGAGTGGACCCGAATTAGCTCTACTGGATATGCGCTTTATTTGGGATTTTTAACTGGCATTCTTTCAGCAGAAGGATGTGGACTATCTTATCTGCCCATATTTAGGAGAGAATTGAAGAGAAAATTGCGAGAATGTACATTTCTGGTTTTGATGTGGAAGGCTTTTTGCCTACAGATCAAGAACACGATCAAAATTTGCAGCACAAACTCTTGCTACAGCAGTCCTCAGACTTCCATGGTTTGGTAATCCCAGTATTTAGAGGCAATGAAAATTTTACTGCCAAAGACAAGAAGCTTGAGCTATATGTTAACGTTCTTCCAGAGAGGAATTCGAAATCGGTCTTAAACAGCAAGAGAAATCTTTGAAGGAAGAGCAAGGTTAAGAGCCTCGGGAAGGCAGCGAGGAGGTGAGAAGCATTGTTATTGACTGGTCTAGATTAAAGAGCACAGAGGAAGATTTCAATTTGATAACGTCACAGCCCTTCC